TGACGTCTTCGTAAGAGAAATCCGAAGATGTTACCTCCTGTAGATCGAATTTCAAGCGCAAGTTTGTTTCTTTCGTGAAGTCACATCGTTTGAGACTGTTAGGAGATTCTGACCGCGATGGAAAAAAATTCTTGTGTTTCATCAACTATCGACACTGCCACAGAGGGTTACAAGCTAAGCTCTCGTCCTGTGCAAAACAGGTCTGGTAAAATGTTCATAGACACAGAAGTTAAACCTCAAGCCGGAGACACGATCATGGATCTCGGGTGCGGTACAGGAGAGCTGTCTGCGCATCTGGCTCAGCTTGTTGGACCCAGTGGAAAGGTTTTGGGTGTTGATCCGGATAAAGAACGCCTTGAACTTGCTAAACAATCATACAGTGATATCAAGAATCTTTCGTTTGCTGAAGGGAGCGCTGCAGACTTCCCAGGTATGGGTTCAGAATGCTACGACATTATCTTCAGCAACTATGTGCTACAATGGATTCCGAACAAATGCAACGCTTTCCGGAATATGTACGCAAGCCTAAAGCCGACTGGTCATGCCAAACTAGCAGCTCAGTACGTCAGCTATCTATTCCCATTCATGACAAGCGCCTTTGAGGAACTGAATCCAGAAAATGCAGAACATTTACTTGGCATGTTCAATTTTGAAGCGAGATCAACGATCGAGCAATATTGCTTTGCCGCGGGGTTTGGCATTGTCAAAAGCTATGACATTCAGAGCGCACAATTTGTATTTGAGAGCATCGAGGCGCTTTTGAAGTGGCTTTGGTCGACAACACATGGTTCCTTTGATCCTACACTAGTAACCGAAGATCGCCTGCAGAACTATTATCCATATTCAAGCCGAAATGGTCAGCCTCCATTTGACTTTAGTGGTATTAAAGAAGAGTCAACGATTTGTCGATTAGTGGCTACCAAACAGGTTTATTAGGACGCCACGAAGCGTCTATTTATGTTCACTAACATCGATTTCCTGTTGAAGTAAATAACCGGTATTTTAGTGTCCCCAATTAGCAGTCAAGCTAAAGTGATTATGATACTTAAAATAAAGTTCCTATCTTAATGCTAAATATGCTTTCTACATTGTGTTCTACAATATGCCTTCGCTCCGACGAAGGGCTAACGCTCGAAACGTCAGGTTTTGTAATCGTTACGGTGGCCAATTTACCATTTCAACTTTGTT